TAATTTTTTTTTTTTTTTTTGGTCGGCAATTAACATGATTGACGTTAATTAAATTGAACGTTAATGAAATGATATTATATACGTAATTTTTACGTATATCGGTGAAAATAATCGGCGCTCTTATTTGGCACGCTAAAGAAGAAGAAGACCGTGTTCAACGATCGAATCGTGGCTGAAAATTTTGTTTTCTCAAATGCGTATACGAATGAAAATTTGATTCGACTTACGAATTGTATCTGAATGATCAATCAATTCATCGATAGCCGTTCGATCTCGAAGTTTATCATCAAGAAAATTTCGATTGAGATGTTAACATGTGAATTCGAAATCGGAGAGAAAGACGATGATATATTTGAATAATATTTTGATAACGTTGTTGAATGGCTGTCTAACTGATATTAATTGTAGATAATTGAGATATTTACAAGCAAACTTACTTGCTATATAAATATGCTTCAAATTTAATCAAATTCACGAAAGATTCGTAATTTTGACATTCTCATTCGTCTTGCTCATCAGGGAAATAAATATTTTCGGTAAATTTTTTTATTGGAAAAATTTTATCGATAAAATTTTAATTCTTTTTAGTTTTCTCTTTCTCTTTCTCTCTTTTTGAAGTAGTAGTTACAGAAATGGTTGATTTCTTGATGATATTGACACAAGTCAAAAAATTTCAAATTTCCTTTTAGTGAATGCAAGGTCTATATTATGTTTTTAACAATAATGGAAAGAAGTAATGTATTTTAATATCTCACAGATATTTTGAAATTTCATTAAAATATAAGATTAGTATTTTAAATAACAAAAAACTCTATTTTCAATATTTAAAGAATAAAAAATAAAAAAATAGAACATGGTTAATTGCAATTTTCAATTTTAAGCATAAAATAAATATTTTATCTATCCCAAATTCAAAAATAAATTGTACGTAATATTTGCTTGTAATTACATTAATAATAATATTTATTTATAAAAATCTTACTTCAAATTTTCTCCAATATAAACGCGCCTCTATATAATCGAATTCACAAATTCGTAAAAAGCGTCTGTAAAAATCTCAATGATTAAATTCGCAATTAAAATTACGCGCACATTTACGAAAAATTTAAATACACAAAAAAAAAAATCCATAGAATATGCACAATACCCGAGATAAGACTTAAAATATCGAAATTAAGAAAATAAATATACTCTGCCAACATTATATATTTAAAATTCCAAATTTACATAATTCACACATGTATTTATAAATATTATTCACTTATTATTATCTGAAAATAATTATCGAAACATTGAAAAGTTTTATCGATATATCAGCCCGACCTCGACATTCTGTTTCTACTTCTAATTCGTACCAAACCAAACACAACCGAACTTTTTTCCTTCACCGATAATAACTTAACTTCACGTTACAAGTGAAAATTAATTAAAGCTGCTCGCGTATATACACGTATACAATCCCCCCTGTTATGTATCTATGTATTTATTGAACGAAAATGTATTTATTCAACGAAATTTGTCAGAAGGAGGAGTAAATCGTAAATCGTTTAGATAAACTCGAATCGGCTTCCGAATCGAGTGTACATCGATTCGTATCGTGTCGAGGGTGAAAAAATCCTTGGAACGGAGACATTTTAAACGGCGATAAAAATTAACCAACGTTAGGCGTTGATGCCTAACGTTGGACGTTTGCTCGACGGGGGAACACGTGTCGTGGCGCAGGAGGGGAGGGGGCAAAGAGACGACGAGGCTATTATCGAGGTTCGAACCGGATAGCGTGCTCGAATACACTTTGCGTATTCATTACAATGCATCAGACGAAATGAATCCTTTCTCTCTCTCTCTCTCTCTCTCTCTCGTTCCGTTCATTTGCTTAGATAAGCTACGATCGCACCGCCCCTCCCCTCCCCTGTCCACCCCTTTCGTCCTTCCGAAACAGACCACGGATCGCCACCCTCTCCCCTCCTCGCCACCCCCTCCTGCTCCTCTTCCTCGGCGCCGCACTCCTCTCATTATTCACCCAGCGACGAAGAGGTATGTTCGCGATTTGGGTTGCGATATTCACGCGGTTAGAATGCAATAGCGCCGTTCGTGGAAATTATTTTCGAGACGGTTCGGTGGATCGATGGGATATTCATCGGTTTCGCCATTTCCACAGGATCAGAGGTCGCGTTTTATCCAACGAAATTTGATTATTTTAGGTTACAGGTTGGAACGTAGAAAATGAAAAAATATTTCGTTTGTATTTGTTTTACGATGTTGCGAGAAGGAAGAATGTGTAATATCTATTGGTATCTGAGGAAATTAAGATTATGATTAATATTTGTAACGTGATAAAGTAAATTGCGAAATTAATTAGGAAATTAGGAAATAATTAGCGCATAGGGTAATTTAGATGAACGATAAAAAAGATGGATAGATATACTGTTGGTATTAATATCCATACAATGTAGAATTATATTCTCTACATAATATAACATTGTAATTATTTAAACCTATTTATTCGTGTTTCTTTCAACAATGATGATCGAAAGGCGATTTATCACTATGCAATTCGACTCGACTTATTATCATTTATGTTGATAATAATACTATTTTAAATCAATTTAAAATAAAACTTGATGAACGAGATACGATACATTTTTAGAAAAAATCTTAGTTCAATCTACTTTAATTTTAATAAAATAAGAATAACTCTGCTCGAGATTGTCTCGAAGAAAATCAAATTAAGTTAGTCGACACAAAATATTCGAAAGGAGGAGTACAATTCTGAAGGAATTGTTTGTAAATAATATCTCTCGAATTTGTAATTAACGACATCTCAGAAATTCAAAACAATCCAAATACAATAATTCGAAAGAGAGTTTACTCCCTGGAAAAATTATATTATTTGGACGTAGCTTACGACCGTGAAGAACAGGAAGTCGTTGGAAGTCGAGGAGAAAAACCACGCGAGATATTGCAATATGTCTCTCCTCTCCCGGAGAACTACAACTAACGATTTGATTGCGCATTGTCACGCGACGCGAGATTTCTACTTTCTAAGCGGCCAACACGAGCCTATCTTCCCCCGAGGCTTCGTTTTACTCGCCTCTACTTACGCCGCCTCGCACGAACCAACACCATCATGCCCCTCCGACACATCGTGCCTGATTTATTAAGAAGTTACGCGATTTATATCTTATTCTTTCTTCCCGCATCTGCGTTCCTTATTCACCCTTATATATATATACCCTCAACATTATATCCATTTCAGGGATCAGATTACGGCTCCTTGAACTCGTTACGCGTGCTCCAGCTTGCTTAATGTTAATTCCACGAGCATTATACTCGATAAAAATAATGATGATGAGAATAATAACGATATGATAATAGGAAGATTGTCGTCGTTATGATGGACTGTGTATGAGCTATATATGTATATATATATATATATATATATTTATGAAAATATCCTTTAGATACTTTAACAAGGTTCCAACAAACGTTTGAAGTAATTTTCTTTTAATTAAAAACGGTCCTCCTCGTCTATCTCGCATCACTAGCCTCATCTAAATCTTTTTCAATCCGAGAAACGCGTTTTATATCGCGTATTTTTTAATTTTAATTCGGGGTATTTAAAAATTTGTGTTTATACATTATATCGTATATCGTATATGAATATACGATAAATTTAATTCCTTCAAATAAAATTTCAAGAGAAATTTGCTTATCCAATTAGCGACACATCACCATGCGTGTTGGTTGTTTTGTTAACTCGTTCCTCATGCGAATGAGAAATTTTCTGGCGGATGATTTTCATTCAGAGGGATCATAATTAATAATAAACGTCAGATTCGAAGATCATCTCTACGATTCAGAAATAAAATTCGTTTTATAAAATATACAATTTTTCATTTTCTCTTCTTCGCCAAAAGTATTGATCATTGCCTTCTTCTTGCCATCGATTAATAATTAAAGTTGAAAATATCGTTTTAAACAGAATTGAAGACTGCCAATTTTTTTAATTATTTCCTCGATTTATAGAAAACTTTTACTTTCTATTAAATAAAAAGCACATCTTGCAAAAACAAGTAATTTAAGAGTAATTTAACACCTTCGTTTATTTTTTCTTTTTAACGATCCAATATTCTTTTAAAATTATATCTTTCTTTATCTTTGTAACAACCAAACAATATGAAAACCACAAATGACTTATTCAAAGAGAGAACTTACATTATAATAACATACATTAAAAAAAACCTATATTACATTATACTTATACAAACAC